TGTTTTGCCATCTTTAGGAGGCTCCTCATAGTTGAGTGAAAGAAAACAGCTTGAGAGTTGTTGCAGTCTTTGTATCAAAAGATTCACATTGCTGTCCTCACACTCCACAGGTCAGTGGCAGGACATAGCAGTTATCCGCAACTGTAGTGGTAGGGGAAGTGGCCATCCTAAAACTGGCAGTCTAATAATCTGGCTTGCTTTGACAAATAGTGCCATGCTTTTTACATACCCACTACAGCAATGATGTTGAGTGGCATTATAACAAGCTACTGTACATTTTGCTTTGTGTGGCAGTTATAATTAAGGCAGATTAGAATTTTGTGCTGGACCTGGCATTCTTTTTTCCAGAGCTTTTTGTTTCATCACCTGGGCTCTGCCAACATAAGCAAATATTAGTGTCCACCACAAAAAATGCTAATTCCATGAAGCTGTTGTTCAACAAGTACAACCAATCAGCTGCCAATCTTTGCCCTCTGGCCGGAGGTTCATAAGTGTGAAATGTAGGACCACTAGACTGAAAAACTCTTTCTTTCCCTCTGCCATCAGACTCCTAAACAGCTGAGGAGTTTATTACCAAGAAATATGTGATGTACTGTTTACATTCTGTTTGCACATGCATAATTGCACAATGACTGTTGACTGCTGCACATGCTGCTCCCATGCAGCATACATTCTGTTATATTCTTGTATATATTTTTTTCTACTATATTGCTGCATCTGTGCTGATTAAAGTGCCTTAGATTTTGTGTTATTTATTTATCTACTTTATATTTCATTTGTATTTTGTGGCATTCATGTGGACGGCAAAGGAAGAATTTCATTGTACAGGGAAACATGTTTCCTAACTGTGCATATGACAAAATAAACACTTTGAACTTTGATCAGGACACAGAGCAGACTGCAGCCCTCACACAACTTTGGACACTCTAGATGCACTTTTTAAGAAGAACCTTTACTTTTATGCTCCCTAAATATACATAAATATACAAACAAATAAATAATTAAATAAAATCACACCACTGGTTGTGGTGTGTTTATAGTATTGGAAAACTCATAAGATGAATGTGACATGATATTCTCTCTTACTACCACCACTGTACTTTTTCAACAACAGTCAACCATTAGGACTGACCTCCCCAGAGGCTGTTAGAGGTACTAGGCTCCACAGTTACTACCTGAGATGTGCAACACTTAAATTTTCACAGAGAGCAGCCTAACATTGATAATATAATGGTAGCAAAAATGACAAAGGTGACATTTGATAAACAAAGAGACATGTGGGGATGGTTAAACGAGAAGGTACAGATTAAAGGATGTAAACTAAATAAATCAATGGTTACCAAGATATAGAAGAAAAATAAGGCCAGCAAGAATACTATAGAAAAAGAAAAGATGACTCTCAGATACTACATTCAGCAGTAGCAGGTTTTTCTCTTTTTTTAAAGAGACTCAACACAAACAATATGCTCACAAATGTTTGAAATACAGAAAACACTACAGTCAGCTGAGTTTGGCAACGCTGCCAGGTGCAGAAGACCAGAAATGTTTGATGAAATATTTAAAATACATTGCAAAGTCAATATGTGGTGAAGATCAGCAGAAGGTCCAACATCAACATGACTGCACCCTCTGGATACAAGGAAACATCCATGACCTCTTAATGTTACATTTGTAATTTCTTTTTAATGTGTAATAACACAGCTGACTTTAACCTTTGAACTCATAAGAACAAAAAGAATATTTATACTATAATACATTTACGTAACTAGCTGAATACTAGATGCAAAACAGCTTTTAACCAACCACAGTAGCTGCAATCATGAGATTATGTTGTTAATTGAAATAATGCAATGGGTAGACAAAATAAAGTGAACACATATACAGTGTAATACAATTCAGTGCAGTGGTCAGGCACTGAATGCTGCAGTTCAAATACATCAAACAGATGGCCACCAAGTGAAAAGGAACTGCAGATTCAGGGAATGTAGTGAAAAACTGTCTTGCTGCCAACAGCAAAAATGAGTTGGTGGCTCTATAGCCTTTGGCAGGGCTTAAAAAATCTGAAATTCATGATGACAGTTTGGGCTGATAGGTTTTCTTGTATTTGATGGATCCTCTGTCTTCTCCTCTATTACACAAAGCTCGACTAAACCACTTTCCCTGTCACTAGGAAATCTGGTGTGCAAACCTGCTTCCCATTGTTAAATAATAACTGCCCACCATAACACGTTACATTAGCCATGAGAAACTCCCATAGTTTACACTTGCTAAAGTTTCTTATTGCAAATATGTAGTCTAATTGCCTAGTCCTCAAATATAATACAACTTCAAACAAAATATTATTTCAAGAAAATACTATATATACATATCATCTTATATTCAGGCCTATGTGGTATTTGCCTGAGCTTTAAGGTTCTAAAAGCTAAGGGGATGTTTAAAGGACGTATATTATGCAAAATTCACTTTTAGAGCATTTTCTGACTTTCACATGGGTGTGTGTGTAGAGACACACAAAACAAGACAAAGGAGCAGTCAGTGCCTGTTTTACATTATCCGCATTTGTAAAAAGCCCTGCTTAAATGCACTGTTCAGATTTGTCTCTCTTTATGACATCATACAAAATGACGCGGCAGGCCATTTCGTATGGCGCAGATCAGTTTTTGGTACTACTGGTCTGCCATTGTGATTTTCTCACTAGAACAGCGGATGCACAGCAACATGGCACAGTTCAGAGGAAAACACGGATTCTGCTTGGTTGTTGGTTGCACAAAAGTCTCTACCTACTTCATCCACGGAACCAGTGAAGACACAGTGGATATTGTATATTTATTATGAAAATGTTCCTGAAGATATCCTTAAAATGTTATGTGCTAACGCTAATCATTTCAATTCGGAGTGCTTTCTCAACAAGGGTCAGTACAACACTGGATTTACTTCCAGACTGCAGCTCAAATTTTTTTCCGACTTTGTGACTCTACCTCACATCCTGTTGCTGATATGTGGCTATTTTAAAGTTATTTTACTGCTTGTGTATAAAGTTAGCCTGTTTACCTTAGTCACATTAGCCACAGTGTAATGCAGCACAGCTAATGTGGCTAACAGTCGCTTGTATTACAGGCAGAATGGCAGAAACAGGTTAAGTGTTTGGGAAAGTAATATTAATGAACAGTCACAAGGTACCAGAGACTTTTTTAGCCAAATGGTGCTAACTTTGCTTGTTTATCTAGCCTTGTTGTAACAGTATTAAACCTTGTGTAAACCAGGGGTACCCACACTTTTTCGCCTTGCGAGCTACTTTTCAAATGACCAAGTCAAAATGATCGACCCACACTAAAAATACTACGCACACACACACACACACACACAACATATATGTATGAATGAGTGTCATAGTTTTTATGCTTGGTCTGAAAGTGCCACTCCACATTTCCCTTCTTCGGAATAGTGATGGTAGATTGGCAGATCAAGCAAACACATTTCGAATATAACGTTGTGAAAAAAAAAGTCCTCCTCCCATTCTGTATGGAATGTTTTTGGTACGTTTTCGGTTTCTTACTTCATTCGGCTCCCCCACTCATTTTATACCCTTTAGTAGAAATTAATTCAAAGGCTGACAAGGTAGTTCGCTCATTGGAGTTTTGCAGTAGCTCGTGCTGTTGACTGTGCATGTTTGGTGACTTGTGTGTCAGAAAAAACAAGATCTCAGACTGGCTGCCCTGCATGTCAATCAAGTAGCAAATGCCATAGGGAGGATGGATGATAGGCTATATATGAATGATTGTCACTTTCTGCTTTTCCTGTTAGGGGTCGTCACAGCGAATCGTCACTCTGACCATTTGCATGTTAACATATCGCATGTGTTTTACGCCGGATACATCTAATTTATTTTTGAATGGCACGCGATCTACCAACACTACCTTTGCGATCGACTGGTCAATCGCGATCGACGTATTGGGCACCCCTGGTGTAAACGTTACTGGGGTTTTTATCTATTAAACAACACTGCCCAGGTTAGACAACAAGAGTGGTGTGACAGTAGCAGATCTGTGACAGGAGCAGGCTTCAACTTGAACATCTGGTTGTTTACTTTTTGGTTTAGAGTGGTTATTATGGTGAAATTTACAGTAGAAATGCAGCTAATGTTAACCAACCAAGTTTATCAGAGTTAACACTGAAGGCCTTAGCTGTCCAGAATCTGGAAACATGGCTTGGAGTTGGTAGGTGGTTCCTGTTCAGTGCTGTGGGAGGTGACCAATCAGAGCAGACTGGAAATTTAGGGTAAGGGGCCAGGAGCTAAAACAGACCATGATCATACAGAGGTGAAAAGAGGTGCTACTGGTGCGCTGAGGAAACTAAGGAACTTTATGAACATACAAGAGTTTAGATGTTGGGTAGTAGAACCTTTAAATAACAATATAAACCTGAACATAAGTATAATTTGTGACCTTTTAATCTAGAGTTGAAGTCTTCTCAAAGAGAAAGAACTATTTTTCATATCAAAGTCATTTTAGTGGCCATGAGGAGTCCTACACAGACTGTGAAAGCACCTGTATACCAGCTGTGTAGCTCTGAGGATTTGGAAGATATAGACTAAAAGGACTAAGAGTCATAGTATATCTACACCTCTGCTTGAAAACTATACAACAAAAATATGTCTTTACTTACATGTACATCTCTGAAATGACCTTATTTTGCCTTCTGCAAATGCTGTTAAGTGTTTATTTATTTTCAGCACCAGTAAGGAATTAAAAGCCTCAGTGCTAACAGCATCTTTATCCTTAAGCCACAAAGTTTTTAATTGATTAAATTATTGCCCCGTTTCAGAACACTGCTCTGTGTGTGTGTGTGTGTGTGTGTGTGTGTTCTCTTTTCCAGGACACACATCTTTGGTTGTGGCCATGGTTATTAATTACAGTGTGTATTTTTACATTTATGCATGCAGGCATATTGTTAATGTTGATATTGTGTGTGTGTGTGTGTGTGTGTGTGTGTGTACTCACATGTAGTGCAAGTGGGGGTTCTTGGAGAAAACACGAGTCTGGATTGAATGCAGGTTGCTCCTTGTAATAGTTCTGTAACACACACACAGATGCAAGAACAAAAGCTTTGATAAATAATCTTGAGCTCCATCACCCTGAATTATAGTTAGTTAAAGGCGAAGAACAACAGGACAAGAAAAACTATTAAATAAAGAATTCAAGAAATAAAAGAGAGATGGAAAGGAAGAAAGATAAAACTGTAAATTACTTTGTTCCAGTTCAGCAAACTGCACTGATTTTCAAAGCACAAACACAAGTTACAGTTTCTGGATAAATCTCGGGGAGACAGTACAAACCAATACCTAAACTAGGCAGGATTCTGACATCAGCCAACAGGCTGATGCTAAGAGCATATGGATGAGAGCAGGTGTTGTGGCTGATGGCCTCACTGGGCCTGCTGCTGATGAGCTGATACTTTGCAGGTCACACAACTTGCATTAATTTGTTTTAGGTTGTGAAACTCAAGCAAAATAATCTATGTTCATCCAAGCTAAATCACATTATCACACCACTTTTTTAGAAGTGCTTGTTGCTATCACACCTCAGTGCCTCAAATACTTCTCTTTTCAGGAGGATACTGTGGATGATATCAAGAACCATTAAAAAAAAATAAACTATGGTGCATGTGACATGATCCAGAGATTCACAGACATTATGCTACAGTTTGTCTGAAGAAGTTGCAAATGCTTTAATACATCCATGCAAATGATTATGTACAATTCTCTGCTGTTTCCTACATTATCAATTGTTTGTCATGTTGATCAAAATGTATTATATAGTTCACTGTGCAATAGTCTTACCCCCAAAACACCTAGTCATTAGTTCTAAATCTGTCCTGAATTGGTAAATTGCTCCCAGGTGAATCTTGACTTTCCCTAATGAAGGTGCATCTCATGAACCATCAACTGGCAAGTATACATATAGCTGGAGCACAACACAATGGAAGGACAAGGAATTGGACGGGGTCAACAGCCAGAGAGAAGAAGAAGAGGAAGAGGAGTGAGGCTGCGTGGCGGAGGAGTTGGGAGGCAAAACAGAGGAAGAGGCAGAAGAGGCCGAGGACATATACGTGTTCCTGATGACGTTGTCAATCATGGGCTTACAATGGCTGAGGCTGGTCGAAGGGTGCAGCCAAATGTTGCTGCGCTACCAGTATGTACAGGTAAAACATGCATGAGCATGCAGCAACTGTACCTCACAGTAAACAGTACAACATCGTATAGTGATATACAGTACAGTAAGTGTGACATTTACACATTTGCTATGACTGTAGAAAAGTAGATGCAATATGTGATGTATACATTTGATGTAACTGTATCTTTATGGAGATAAAATACTATCAAAAATGTTACAAATGTGTGTTTAACGTTTTGTCTGTAATAAAGCCATTTGTGTGTGTGTGTGTGTGTCATGCTGTTCACAAATGCATGCTGTAAAAACTGCACATAAAACACATTTTACAAATGCTTAAAATCGATTTTTCGTGTGCAGTTCTTTAGAAAGTACATACACATTGTTACCTACGCATGCGTGGATCGTCTAACACACACGAATCACCTTCCGCGCACACACGGATTTTTGAGAGTGTTTTTCCGCACTCTCAAAAGTCCACGGTCCACGAATGCACGGTGCGTTTAAGGACACGTGGAAAACTCGGACATCTGAGTTTCCAAACCTGTTTCCCAAACAAAAGTATTTACACAATGCTATTCCAAATGGACATTACATAAAATAAACAAAAATATCTAATACATAACACGTTTTAACAGAGAACATTCCAGTTGCCTGCAGTTTGTGGTGCATGTTCTAAATTTTTATATATTTAGAATTTAGAAGTTATGAAGCTGAAGTTAATGTTTCGCCCTGCGGAGTTTATAGTTTTTCAGTAGGGCATATTTTAGTGATGCACATATTCCTCCCGACGGAGTTTGTTGTTGTTTTTCAGT